GCAAGGTGATGTCTCTGCTTTTTAAGATGCTGTTGAGGTTTGTCATCACTTTCCTCCCAAGAAGCAGGCTTCTTTCAATTTTGTGGCTTCCGTCACCATCTGCAGTGATCATGGAACCCAAGAAAGTAAAATCTGTCAGTACCTCCATATCTTCCCCTTCTATTTGCCAGGAGGTGATGGGATCAGTGGCATGATCTTAGTTTTTCTGATGTAGAGCTTCAGACCATTTTTTGAGCTCTCCTCTTTCATCCTCATTACGAGGTTCCTTAATTCCTCCTCACTTTCTGCCATCAGAGTGGTGGTATCTACATATCTGAGGTAGTTGATATTTCTTCCAGCAGTCTTAATTCTGGCTTGGGATTCCTCCAGTCCGACCTATCATCTGCATATCGGAGAAGCCATTTTCTCTCCTGTTCTCCTAATAGAATAGCTTGGACATACTCAGCAAATTCTACATTCCTACACTCATATACTTAGGAATAAGTCACCCTGAATTCATAGGGGGGGGCTTCTGGGTAGACATGCACACATTTGGAGAGTAATTAGATTTTCTGTATATTTGGGACAGACAAAAGAAAGTCCTTTTGCACACTGTGCACACCTAAATCAAGGAAAATCATTCCAAAACATGCAGTGACGGTCACTAGCTTATACTATTTAATAAGTAGAGACAGTTCAGTTGATCAAGGGCTATTAGTTAAACATCCACAAACAGTGGCAGCATGTCTGAATATCAAATGTTGGTGATGAACAGTAAGGAAGACTATTACCCACCTATCCTGCTTGCTGGCTTCCAGGAGCATTTTGACTGACAGCTGTTGGGACATAAAATTGGCTTGAATGGGTGCTAGTTTGTACAGCAGGGTAATTTTTTTGTTGATCCTCAACAAATGGCTGCTTTTGTAAATTAACTGTGTTATTAAGTAACCAGCATTTTACTGCTTCTTGGCACATTAAATTCTGTCTAAGGCTCAGGGTCAACCTATGTGTTAAAAGGAAATGTGAATTTTCTGCAGTTGCAACATTTTCTCCTCGAGGTGTACAATTTTTTCAAAGCTCTATCCCAAAGCATGAGACTTGCAAATGAAGCTCATATTTACTTCCCAGTGATGTATAAGAAGGATAAACAAGACATATTGTAAAGGATCGATACTTTTGGTACCACTGGGTCATTTAGTTTGATTCTGAATAAAAAGGTTGGGTGGATTGACTCAGATGCATGCATTATTGCATGAAATGTTCATTCAGCACACTTCAACTAATATACTGTACTAATAGGCATCTCAGACAATGCTTTTATCATGTTCTAGGAACAAGAAGGGCAAAAAAAGAGAGTTCCAAATATACACTACATAACATAGAAAGAATCTCTACAATCGAATATCAAACATGAGTAAAAGCTAAACAGACAGTGTTCTTAGCCAGCAGCCCAACTACTAGAAAGATCTTGCATGCAGTATGTTAAGATTTGAACATAATTTATTTCCATCTTATTTCACAGAAAGTCACAGATGATATCTTAGCTAGAGTTGTATAACTAGTGACAAATGACACAGTCACTTAGGATTCAAGAGGCATCACATAATGCAAACAGCTGCTAACAACCCTTCCAGTTTCATCCAAGTGGATCAGTGGCTGCTAAGAATCAGAAAGAAACGGAAGAAAAACAGTTGCTGGCTGCATGAAAAGATGCATGGAGGAACTGCATTGGTTTGCTGTCTACAGCTTCAGCAAATAGCAAGCTTTGAAGAGTCAGTTTTGAATAAAGAAGTCACACTTGTTTCTTTCTGTAAGCTTCATTTTTTAAAATAATGAGGAAGGAATGTGATGATGAAATCAGGTGATTGTTGAACAGGTTGTAAGAAAGCCATAGTAGGCTCATACTAACATCACTTTACCTTGTTTGCTTGGAGTTCAAGTGGAAATCTGAAATCAAATGGATTAATACAAATACTGTTGAACAGCTTCAAAAGAGATGAGGAAAGAAGTGGAATATCTCAAAAAGAATAATTCCAGTCACTATTACATGTCTTTTCTTGATTAAATGCTTAAAAAATTACAACCCAAATGAAGTGGCACTTCAAATACACAGGAGCCATCAGCCAGAGGTATTTCCAGATGTTGATTTTATTCTGTAGTTCTGACTCATGCAATT